CTCCTGCTGCTGCTGCCGTTGCTGCTGCTGCCGCTCCTACTACCACTACTACGACGGCGACAAGCACTAACTACGACTATCTCCGGGATGTTCCCTTTCATTGCATCGAAGCGAAGGTTGCGTAGCCAAGCCACACAAAGCATTCGCGGCTGCACTGGAAGTACTTTGCAATCCTCCACATTTTCAAGCGAAACATGCCATCAAACAGAATCCCAGACCGAGTGCAAACACACAGGTTACGGGTCTTCAAGCCCGACAAGCGAAGCACATGGATTCCGGCCTTGAAAGCTTTGAAGCAGCCCTCTCGATCCAGAAGCCCAGAAATCTCAAACTCTGCACGTTGGACTTTGACTTTAGCGCCCAAGCCCACGAGAATCCTCAACAAAGATAGACTCTGATACAACAGACTCTGTCCCCGCAGCCCCGAACCGAGCAACCCAAAATCCTGAAGCCCAGAAGTCCCGTTTACCCTGGACCCCGATGCTCCTGAAGAGATAGTCACGGATTGGCAACTGTGGTGGCCGGACTGAATGGAACTTTGTGACCTCGAGTGCTCTTAGGTCCGCAAATCGCAACTCCGAACTTCCCAAGTTTGCTGTAAACGGTTGTAAAAAACGCAAGGCTCAGGAGGGCCGGCTTTGCCAAGCCTTGGAGCACAGACCACATCAGGGCTCAGAGATGTAGGGTGGGGTAAGAGCCTGAACATTGCTGCAGGCCTGAGTGCCGAGACATGTTTAGGCTTCGTTTCCTTCGTTTGTGTAAGGGTCCAGACTTCGGATCCACAGGCTATCAGACATCTTCTCGAGATCCTTTTGTGAGTTTTGGCTATCAAAGACAAGGAAAAGGAACTCCCCTGTTTTCAAGCTACGAAAAAACTAAAGTCCAGCGTTCAGGGAGAGAGTTGGAGAGGGCAGCTGCACGCACGCATCTGGCAAGATTGAACCCTCGACAAGGACGGTTGAGTGTGTTCGGCCCAACCTGTACACTTCAAACCCGGAACCCCTACAAAGCTGTTGCTTTTTCTGCACGCGGCGCTTCTTTGGCCCAGCCTTCACGGCGGCTTCCCCGAGACTCCCATGCAGGCAGGGACCCTTACCGAATTTCCTTCACAAAGAGATATACCATCCTTGAAAATCTGTCGAACCTAATCGCTGTCCTGCATGGGAGTGTGCCGATGAAACTACGAAACCTCACAAGCCGCGCTTCCTCTTCGCTGGAAGGGCCTTCTCCACCGCTTTCTCCTTCTCCTGGCACTGTTCCATGTGCAGCTGTGGGGCGGTACCGGTACTGTTCAACAGCGGTCATCGGCATCATGATGCTGATCATCATCCAAGACCATCGTGATCAGCAGCTGCACCGGAAGCAGCACAACTAACACCGCCACCGCCCCTACCACCACTGCCGCCCGTACCATCGCAAGAAGCAGAAGCATCATCATGGTCATGATTGTGGTCGTCCAATAGGTCGTAGATTGGAGCACAAAAGCAATCACATACAAAGCGTCGTTAGAATGAAACATGATGGAAGTGGGTCAGACTGAAACCTCCACTTATGCACCGTGCCTTGTAGTCCTTGTGGTTGTCTTTCTCCGACCTGTCTGGCTTCTCCGATTTCTCCTTGGGCTCTTCCTGACGCTCGTGAGCAAACCAACTTTCTCTGGCAGAACGCGATTATGCAACCTAAATCGCCACCAAAGTGAAAATGTTCGCCAAAGCATACTGGAACCACAGTCCCGACCTTCTCGAGTCTATCCGCCTTCTCCAACTTCCCGTCCAAGATCTCCTTCTGCAAATTGTGGTCTCGAAACGCCTCGAAGGCTGGTTGGGCGGTGCGCTCGTCCAGGCAAGCCAGCGAAGCGCTGATTTTCAGCACAATCTCAGGCCACTCCTCTCCAGACTGAGCATGCAGCTTTGGGGGCTTGCCGCCGAACTGGACATGTTTGCTGCATGCTATTTTGTGTGTGTGTGTGTGTGTCTGTCTTTGGCTATATGGTTTGCTTCTGACGCATGACACAGTTACTTGGACGCGTCGGTCAAACGACAAACCTATAAAGACCCCGAGCTTCCTAAGCCTAAGCCGCTGCAGTCCTTACACCCCCGGCCGTAGTCGGGCGTTGCCACAACCTCCAGGGCAAACATGCGCAGCTTCCTTAGGTGGTGTCACATACGGAGGGGCTTGAGGTACTTTGATTCATCTCCTGCCTGGGGCAGGTTGTCCTTGATGAAGTTGAGGCAAGCCTTCTCGAGCTGCTTCGCCTCGTAGAGATGTGCCTTGGTGCCGGTGATCTGTGGCCGAGAATGTCGAATTAGGGTCTCCAGGTCTGGGGCCGAAGTGGTGAACTCGCGCCAAGCTTGACCGCCATCCGATCCCAACCCAACCAACTACTAGCATGCGTTGCACCTAACATCTTCCAGCTGACGAGCTTGAGATACCTTCTTGTCAAGCCACTCAACGCAAAACCACTTCATACCAGAAACAACGAACACACACCCTGAGCGCCCAGCAGTCAACCCACCTTAGAGCTAACATCTGTTGACCAGACAATGAGTCGGTCCTTAATTGACAAATGCCTCCACTTTGAAGGCCCAAAGTTGAATAACGTCAAAGAACGGTTTAACATGCCGTCTCACCCGAGCCCCCTCAGCCCTCATGGACGACAACCCCAACCCCTTCGTCGCAGCCTGACAGAGAATGGAGAAGACCTCATTGGAAGAGATGTTGTCGCACCTGGTAACAGTTGGCACGGAGGTTTTGGATCTACAGTGAGCCAGCCGTTCGTTGAGGGAATCTTTGAGAGATACGGCAATACATCTCTGACAATGAAAATAATGAAAAACATGGTCATGTTTCTAGGCAACCCTGGCCCCCAAAACAGAAACCCGAAATCCGAAATCAGCCTTATGCTTGTAGGCTAGTCTAGCCCCCGGGAACGTGGTGGTTTTGTAGGCGCAGGTCGTCAGGCTTTCGACCCTTACTTGCAACCTACAACCCTAAACTTCTGAGCCCCAAAATGAGATTTCTGTCTGAAATGACATGACTCGAGACAGGGATTGCGAGTTGCCACTTGCTGCCGACGATGCGCAGCTTCTGCTCACACCAGACACGCAGCCGGTTAATCTGGTAGAGGTGGCTAAGGCTCCTGGGCTTGGCACATTGCGCTTTGTGTAAGGAGTGAACTCCCGGAACCACAAGTGCGGCCCAGGTTCAACAGGTTTTGGAGAAAGGGCGTCGCCATCTTCCACTTCAGACAAGACGATCCAGAGCTGTCGTGTGCATGCTTCGCCAGGTCCTGGCGGGTACATTGCACAGGTCGCTGTCGTCTTGCGGAACTCCAATCCGTAATCCGTGGAGGAAACGCCTTTATTGGGTCGCAGGGACATGAAACCAGGCTGCAAGTGACAAGATCAACTGCGCACGGCGTTAAGGATAGTTACATTGCAGGGTTTGCATTCCAAACACTTCACATGGATGGCTCCGAAGGCAATCCAAGTGCAAACCGAAAGTTGAAAGTCCTCTACCAAAGCGGTGGCTGTTCTCGGATGTCCTCAAGTCCGAAGTGGAGCCACAGACCCCCGAACCAGCTACTTTTGTAGTGGCCAAATCGCTTCAATCTAATGCAAGAGGCTTGGGGCTGCGGCCCTCGCCGTTTGGGGTAGGTTGTGCCAAAAATCTCATACCCCAGTGGTGACATGCTGGTGTCCTCGATGATGGCCAGGTCGTCTGTGTACAGGAACCTGTCGTAAACTGGACGCAGACTGTCGACGCACGGGGCTTATTCAGCTGTTCCGGTATTAGGACTTCAAAGCTTAGAAGATTCCGTTCCCAGGGTGCAAGACTGAAGACTATTGGGAGCTTCATGTGTATCTTTGGAAATCCGGCCGGTACACCTGCAAGGGACCGGTACGTGTGTGTTCACGGTGCTTCGTGGACATGTGCACCAACCCGGGTGAACAGCATCTACTATCTTGAACAACCTCGCCCAAAGCCTACAGAAACATGTGGCTGCAACATGCTGCAACCGTGAAGCTTGAGCATGGCTCTGAACGTAGCCGACTGCGTGTCTTCTACCAGAATCTCCTTGGAGATGGACTCCTGGAGCGTGGGTACGCTCGCACTTTTCAACTGGCCTGTGGAGTCAATCGATATTCTGGGCACCGACACCTTAAGACATGTCGCTTTGGATGACTGCGCCCACTCTCATGACCGTTTAAAGGAGCGCACCCGGCCATTTTCAGCTGTCACTACTGCCATATGATGAACCAATTTGCACACAAATGCTCGCGAAGTGGGCTTCTAATCGGCCTTTAATCGGAGGCCCACACTGAATTTGCAGCCAAAGAACTCTGTAGAAGAATATCTCTCAAGTGTAGTGGTTAAGACTGGTAAGACCATGACAAGGAAAGAACGATGACAAAAATCAGGGATCGGATAGAGAAACTTATACCGCGGCGGTACGGGGCGGTACGGAGTGGGGGTACCGGGCTGTACGGAGTGGTCGGTGCGGGTACGGGCATTTTTTGTAGCGGCATGGCTTAATGCAGGGCGGTACGAGGCGGTGCAGGGTATATGGGGCGGTGCGGGACGGTGGGCGGTTCCAATTTTTTGCCGTGGGCCCGCCAGCTACTTTCAGTAATTTTTCAGCTGGTGGCCCCATGGGAAATTTAGAACCAACCCGTACCGTCCCGTAGGCAGTACACCACACCCGTACCGCCCGGTATGGGACGGTACGGGACGGTATGGGGTGGTTCGGGGTAGTACGTAGGGGGGCAGCCCCGTGCCGCCCCGAATTGCTGCGTACCGGCCCGTACCGCCCGCTGGAACCAGCGGGACGTAACGCCTAGCCCCAAACCCGTCAGAATCTACGAGAACCCCCCTCGCCCATTTCGGCATGAAAATGTGACGTCACATGTTGTAACGTAGAAGGGAGTATAGGAACGTTCGCCAGTCGTACAGCCGTTGCGCTCACGCAAAGCCCTGCCCGCCACGTCCTTCATTCCACTGTACAACTGCCGCTCGAGGACTTGAGATCTGGCGCAAAGAATCTGCGAATGAGCTGGAATCCGCTCTCCTGGCCAAGGCGCTAATTCATTCTTGGGCTTGGCCCTCTGTTTGGCGTCTTGGGTTTGTCTGAGGCCTGACTTTCACCGTGGCTGGGATCTACAAAGGTCGCCACCAGCACGACAACTGCAATCTCAACGACCACGCTGTCGACGACTGCTGCTCAAACTTGGAATCGAAAAGGCTCAGGACCTAAGCATTCACAAAACAACCCGCTGAAGCCCCACGCGACACCTAGCCTCCCTTGTTGCGGGATTTGAATCATCTGAGGGTCAGCGATCTTGCCCCCTTATACTGCTGAACCAAACCACCTTTCTCTCGGCCAAGCTGCACTACCGACCCAAATCAAAGCTTGAACGCTGGATCCGAGTCCCAACCCTGACCCCGTCTCCCTGCACCAGGAAGGTGACGTCGCTCCCTCGACCCTCCTTGCAGACTCTGAAACTCTGGGAGTTAAAGGGGGGGGGGGCCTTAAGGGCATCGCATGTAGGGCCTAGGGCCAGTTTGGGTCGGTAGGGTTCTACCACCTGCGCGAACAAGAAAATCACATGGTCGGCTTCGTTTGGCGAAGCTCGGGGTTGAAGGGCTGCAGTGCAGAAAGTGTGAAGATACACCAGCATCGTATCCATCGTGTCTAGTAACCTTCCAGCACGAAAGACCGCAATGCTACACGGAGAGCACTTGTGTCTAGTTTGTACCAAAATGTATGGCACTGGAGGACTACGGGCGCATGGTTGCAGCACTCAACATAGTCTGGGGCCGAACCCGCAATGTTTTTGCGAGCCTACTTGCGCTTTTGAATACTATAACCCGGATGACCGCTACACGCAGATGGTCCTCAAACATGCTCATCAGGTCGTTGGACAGCGACTGGGCCGGCACTTCGATAGCCGGCTTCCGCAGCGGCATGGGATCCAACTCCTTCGAAGTGTTCAAAGCAGAGGCCTTTGGGCTTTTGGCTTTCGAATTTGAGGGGGTTCACTGGTCCGGTGAAAGTGCCCCCAGCTAGACGAGACTAGACTTCTGCGTTGCTGGTGCTGCATTGGGTGCACGCTTGTAACCGCCACGTCACGATGCGTCTTGTATGTCGAGGATTGTTTCAACCATAGCTCACGAAGTGCCACGGTGCTCTCCATCTCCCAAGACGCACAGACACAGACCTGCACGTCGCAGTCTGTCAGACAAGACCGTGACCACAATGGCGAATAGCTGCAAACGGACGACGTCCCATCTGCCCCCTTTGTCAGCGGAACCCCGAAGCCTGCATCAGTGATTCCTGTCCGGAAGCCATCATCAGACACACCCTCCAACCCTTCTCAAAAGACGAGGCTCCACATTGGGACGCACTTCGAGCTCAAACTTCACTGTCAGGGAGCCATCCACGATCCATGGCGACTTCAGGAGCTCCTCCAAATGATCGACGAGGTGACGATGACGATGGTGCTGACGATCGGAACCAGCAATCAGCATCATCATCATCATCATCATCATCACCATCATCACCATGCACATTGCCCCAAAGCTCGAGATACCTGCTGCAGCCCAAGTCTGCAAGTTCCACACAAGCCTAATTTAGACGTGAAGCTGCATTTCAAGCAGAGCAGCTGCGAAAATTTGCCTTTCGAAAGAATGCAGCATACGGGAAGAAGGAAAGAATCAACTGCACGGTTGTTCCTCGAAAGAAAAGCACGGAGCCATGCTCTCGCTCTTACATCGGCCCGAGATGTTGGGCAGTCGAAGAAGCTACAGACAGAAGCCTCCACACGCCCAAGAGTTACCGAAGCCTCTAAATCCCCGAACAAAGGCCAAACACTCAGGCTCGGAACCTGCAGCAGGGAGACTGTCAATGTGATTGTATCGACTCAACACCAAGGCCGCTCATGCGCGGCTTTGTTGGCAAATACAACAGATGAGTGACAAAGTCAGAAGACTCAGGTCCTCATGGCTCATGCCGAAGATTCCCATAGAATGTGGAGGAATTTCTGCTGACTCCGCAAAGTAAACATCCGGTCCGAAAGCTCGTCCAGAGGTGTCCGCTCCTAGGGCTCAGGGGATCTCAGAAGAATTCGAGAGGGTTCGAGATGCAGAAGACTCTGGATCTGAGCATCCGGTGTGGCACTCGTTTCCCTCTTGGCCCCACTGGACCCATTGGCCCTCCGCGTTCTTGACCAGCGCCTGGATCAAGGGCGTTGGATCTCGGAATCAGGGTTTTGAGTTTCGGGCTGCTTGCAGTTGGAGAGCTGTGGGCCTGAGGGTGAATGGGAGCTAAAAGTGCTGCGCCCATGCGCAGCTAACTTCATCAAGATGTGGTCCACCAACCCCAGCATGTCACGGAAGCTACACCAGCCCTTGGATCAGAGAAGGGATCATGAGCTCGCGTCGTACACAGGGTGGTGTACAGCTTCCGCCAGGCTGGGAAGGCTGAGCACTACAGATCGGCACACATCAAAGATTCTCTCTGAGAAGTTGCAGAGGTGAAGCTTGCAGTTTGCTCGGTGGCCAACTTCCCCGATGTTACGGGCTCAGCAATACTTTTCAGAATCGAATGCGAAAGAGGTGATGTCGTTGCATGCTACAAAACTGTGAGTCTTCCATCCTGGCACCTAGGCCCATGAAGCCTTGCCTTGTAACGGAAGGTGATGCCGTCGCCGTTGTGGTGCACGATGCAGAGGGATCCTCTTTGGGACTGGCCCAAGTAGCCCACCTCAGGAAGTCTTGGGCCTAGGCCCCACTCGGGCTTGGATGCTGTACAGGAGTGTCGGGCATCTGGTCTGGCTTGAGTGCTTTGTGCGCTTTTGGCGCTTAGGGCCCCGGGTTGAGAAGACGTTCAGGGTGGAGCACGCTGACGTAAGCCTGAATCCTGGCCACGCCACTATGCACCCGGTTTTATTGTAACACTTAGGACTGCAAACATGCTGGCTGCTGCGACAACAACCTGCCAGAGATGGCAACACCTGTGGGAGAGATGACCACAGCCCCAATCACGAGCCTCCCCCGCTTCCGGGTGGTAGACCAAGGAGAAATCCTCCAGGCGAAAGGTTTCAGGCTTTGGCGTTGGATCAAGGGCTTTTGGGCTGAGTCCTCCCCGGCCACGATGAAGGTGCAACTCTCGGCACAGTTGGCCTCGTTCTGCTCCAGAGCGTTGATGAGCCAGGAGATGCCTGCTTCGGGTACAGCGGGCTGGGATTCTTCTTCGAGATTGCTGACTTCATGCTGCACCGCCCTACCCCTGTAAGAGACCCCAATGATTGCTGATACAGCTCAATAACATGAAACCACTGAACACAAATCCGGAGTTGAGAGACCCAAGTCACCTGGAACCCAGCATGGATGACACCCTGCCTTCAATCCGCCATTCGTAGTCACCCTTGACCACGACCTCACTTCACACTCAAAAAGACGCGACCGCTGTCCTTCGCGCTTATGGCTTATGACTCGCAGAACCATAACCTGTAAACTCCGAACCCTATACCCTCAAGCCTTCAGTCGCAAGAAAACCTACTAAAACCTTATCGGGAACGGAGCCCAGCTATCCCCTTCCCTGTACTGCTTCGGACCTCGCTGCAGTGGACCAGCTCCCCGTTGCTCCCAGGGTTGAAGCGTGGTGGGGGGACCTGCGTCGACCCTCAACTCTTACATCAGTCAAACCCCTTACGTGTGCTTGATGATCTGAGGCACTGCCATCAAGCACACAAACAATGTCTCGCTACGGACCCTGTTGTTGTACGGGCTGCGGGTTTCACTGATGATGAACGTGTTTTTCAACACTTGGGCGATGAGCCCAGGCATAGTAGTCACCTGGTAGTGAAGCATGTGCAACCTGTCTCCCGGCGCACGCAACGTTCTCTTCAACCCGCAGGGATTTGATCTCCGACTTACCAAGACTGATTTTCTTGTTTGCTTCAAGGGTGCTGGCAGTAAAGCTCAGCGGGATCAGTGGCTTTGACGAAGCGGCTGTCCACCAGTCCAAGCCAAGGGAAGGTTGGTGACAGACATGGTTGTGCGAAGTTGCCCGAAAGTTTGCTGTGGCTCTGGCCTACAGCTATGAATACCGACTGAGAGACAGAACTTGGGACCGTCGTATGCACGAGCTTAGCCAGGCAGTCTTATTTTTTCGGAATGGAGTTGGATGTGCGGGCATGTACGACAAAGATGCTGCGCGTGCTCCTTGACATGCTTTTGTCTTCAATCCGCATACGAACTCTGAGCAACAAAAGCTGTTACACAGGATGCCGACTTCTGTGTCATGTGTTAGTTCAAGACACGTGCTGAATTTTGCTTGAAGACTGTCGCATTCTGTGTCGCACATTCTGATCGCAACTGACTCTGCCCGCAAGTACAGTCTGAAGCAATGATGGCCTTTTATGGCCTTTCTGGGAAAGCTTCCGAGGCTTGAAGTTGAGGAACTAAGACGAGCGTTGTCGACAAGGCTGTGCAAGAATGCGAGAGCAAATGTTTACTGCTGCGTCAGGATGCACGAGGCCGACAAGCGGGGGCTGAGGCTTTGCTGGCATGCCAGTCCGTCGTTGTCATTGTTGCGTGAAGTCATTGTCACGTGTCTGCACCGCGGCAATATCACCTCAGCCAAGTACACAACATTGTCTCGGCTTTGACGTTTGTTGCGCAGACCACGGTCTATCATGTATGCTTGCATGCAACCGAACCGTGTTAAAGATCCTCGGCGGCTATAAATAACACTTCAACCTGGCGCATCGGTACCGCCGATATGGCGCTGAGATATGATTTACCTACAGGCCTTCAAACGACTTGTGGCAGGGTGTGTCGTGGAAGATTGTTCCATAAGCTTCTGTGATCAATCGCCAGGGTTTTCGCGAAGCAGCTTCCCACAAACTCGGAGCTTTTCGATGTGTGCAGCTTACATCTGGAAATAGCTGCTGCATCATGAATGAAAAATATAGCGCGCCCAACTGGACGAGCTAGAATGTCGGAGCGTGAATCCCAAACAACGATGCTGAAGCCTCGTCCTGCTGTCTCCGAGACACACTACTACGAAGCCCTCTCTTCAGCGACGATCGCCTCTAGAGGTTTCACACCATCGGAAGGGGTGTTCCCCAGCGCATCCGCATCGACCAAGCGCCGATAGTTGCACTCGCAGTTGTTGATGGACTCCTGGATTGAGGGTTTGGTGGGCTTCAGTTGGAACTCGGAGATGGCAGAGTCTTTGGGTGTGAGATCGACTGAAGATCACGCAATACACAACCCCAAACGCAAAGGCCAGACATTCCGCTGGTTACACCCTCTCTCAACTCAAATCCTGAGTAGCGTCTTTGCCCCCTCAACCTCTGCACCCCCCCCAAACTGGCTAAACTCGCAAACCACCTATCCCGATCTAACTCAACCCGAACGCATACACACACACACATATTTCTGTCCTGGTAGGAGATGTGCTTCTGCACTTCCTCCAATTGCCTACGGAGCTTTTGTCTCTCCTCCGCTCTACTCGACTCCTCCTTCAACCGGCTGTTGGCCTGCTTCCTCTCCTTCAAGGATCGGCAAAGGCTCGTGCTTTTTCGGGTTGATGACGTTCAGGTCTACAGGCATCGGGATGCAGGGTTTGGGCTTTGGGCTGGCTGCTGGCGGCCTACAGCTTTCTCGTTGTGAAGATTCAGCTCCGGGTCTCCTCTAAGGTCTGCTTGGCACCGGCGATCTGTGCCAGAAGCTCCTGCGAGGTCGCCATGTTCGGCCAAGCCTCCCCGTTCGTGTAGCTGCCTACACTACGGGTGGACACTTTGCGTGCCCTGCGAGCCAGAAAGCGTCAGGAATGTGATCTTTGGAGGTTCGAGGTTCATTCAAAAGCTTGTATTGAAATGTGCATCTCAGAAACGGCATGTAGCTTGATGATCTACTGACCTAGGGGCCTATCTCAAAAGCACGACAGCTCGGCCGCAAGCCCGTTGCCCTGTAGTCGGTGGTCTCAAGGCAGACAGGTGCGTGAGCACCTATGCGAGGATGAACCCAGAATTTGACTCGCAACACAATCCTTTCAAAAACAACTACTACTACTACTACTACTACTACTACTCGTCCTGCTGCTGCAACTGCTACTGCGACTGCCACTGCCAGTGCTACTGCTACTCACACAACTACTACTCCTCGTCCTTCTCCTCCAGATACTGCACAAGCGGCTTTGCTGTTGACTTGTACTGCTAGTGATAGCTGCTGTCGATAAAAAAGAAGCAGAAGAAATTCCTGCCGCCGTCGACGTATCATAAAACCTACAAGCGCAGCAATAATGCCGCGATTCCGGAGCTTGGCGTTCCGGCAAAACCCTCTGTGGTGCCGGACATCTGCCAATGCCGAAACGAATCCTGGACCGGCAGTCGCAACCTGTGCCGATGTGTTTTTCATGATGTCTCAATGTTCTGAAGGCCGAAGACGCTGCACATGCAACATGCAGCTATGTCACAGATGGCCGATTTCGGTTGGGGCGCAGTGTGTTGAGCTTCAGAAAGTTTCGGTCCTAGAGCTAACAAACCAACAGTCTCCACCCAGCTCCAGAAGGGGATCATACCAGGTTTTCAGCGATTTGTCCGATATGCTGCTTGATGGTCTTCAGCCGAAATAAGTTATGAGGCAAGGTCAAGATTTCGGGGTTGCCGGGCAGGTTGCGGGGTAGGATGACACTCTTGAAAAGCTTTGGGGGCTTCAGCCTTGTTTAAAAGTTTGGGGCAGATCGGGGCTGGATCGCTGTATCCTGGGCAGGTTCCCCGCAGGCGGGCTCCAGGCGGGTTCTGTGTGGGGTGAGGTTCGGGGTCTTTCGTTGTTTACAGTTTAAGGCATCGCCTGCTGTCCGGGATCATCGTACGGGAGCTCTTCCTCCTGTTCCTCTTCCATCTCGATACCTGGGAGGATGACGTACTGCTACGGCTTTCTACAACCTGACAGTTCCAGACAGACGCCATCGCCGGGAAGAGAAGAGATCTTCCTTTGATCAGACTCCGAGCTCTCACCTTTCATACTCTTCCGTGGCTTAAATGGTAGTAAAAGTTACAAGTGTGCTAACTACCTTCCAGCCGATGTCCGAGCTTCCGGGCCGGTAGTGCCGCTCAGCCGGCACAACCTTGTCTGCTTCCCGGCCTCAGACGCTTCAGGACGCTTCATTGTTTGGGGCTTTGAGTGCTTTGCACGAAATACGCAAAGCTCACACAGCACAATGTGACAAAAGCACAGAAGACTGACACAGACGATTGTCCCATGTAGTAAACGGACTGCTGCCAGGTCGGTACAGTATTTGGTGCTGTTGTACAAAGTAGCACAAAGTAGTTGGCGATACAGAAGGGCTTCCAATTCATTCAATTGATTCAACCAAACATAAATGTCAGTAGCACGCAACATGACACATCATCATCATCGTCATCATCATCATCATCATCACCATCATCATCATCGGGCTTTACTGCAAAAGTGATAGGTTGCAAAATCGGCTCGTCACTCAAGATGCATTGTAGCAGGGCACAGGTATGCGATAAAGATTTAACTCACGATAACAGAATGCAGTGGAACACAAAGGAGCACCACAGAATGTGCTCGTGCAAAATTGCTTCTTGAAGCCGCAGCACGACTGGTGCTGAACTGATGGTCAAATAGTTGCTATCTGGATACACCTGTGTCTGTACTACATACACAGAGTGCAACCATCGAGACAGACACAAGACAAAGGCGCAGCGTGCCCTCCTGGAGGGCGAGTGAGCAGAACATTCCACATGGGAACGCACTCAATCGTTGAAGGTGGTTTCGATATTGACTCTGTTCAAAAAAAACAGTGACGTGGGCACATGAAATTGACAATGATGGGGGAGACGATGAAGTCTGCCAGACAAAACGCAGCATGCTCAAGTGGCCTATTTGCCCTCAGCCTTGGCTATGCGCCCTGACATCCTGAAGAGTATCAAGATGGACTCTAGGCTCGGCTAGGGTGTTCGATCCACATCTCTGAGGAAAACCTCGCCCTTGCGGACCTACAAAGAGCAACACCCACCAAAGAAGCACCTGCGGAGACCTGAAGCCTTCGAATGCTGTCGCCCACAACAAATCTCTCCCGAGGCAAGAACCCATGTGGGAGCTTTGCTGGAAAACCAAGCGTACTGTTGAGCCAAAGCAGCAACGGGGCAAACACAGCCCAACGTGATGCCGCCTCACAGCTATAAACACAAAGTTCAAAGCTCGAAGCTGAGGTCTGACCCTTGTTGGAATGTCCAAAATTAGCTTACCCAGGCGGAGATCCGGGGCAGCTTTGCAGTTGGCGCTTTTCTGCCACAATGGGTTCGTCGAACCCGACGTTCTGCCCCTAAGACCGAGGAGGCTTCAGGCGACTGAAAACCTCGGTGTTCAAAAGAGCTACTGGGCATCCAGCCTTCGTGGGCCCTCAGAACAACATGTTGGCATCCTCCACGCTGAAGCAAAACCTCCCCCCATAGGAAGACAAAGCCGTTGATCAAAGACCCAGTCACAGGTGAAGGAATCAAAACAGATTGCCGAACACAATCACAAAAACTTGGCAAAGGTTCGCAGATCTTGTCTCCGCGTTTTCGCAGAATGGCAAAAAGTTGTAACAAACTGGAAACTTGCCTCACTAGGTTGAGGTTCGGAGTGGAGATGCCTCCTGCAATGACCTGGCCTCTACATGTTTTGCAAATCACATGCAAAATTCATCCCCAACCTGTGCAGCTCTTTCCACAGGCGGGATGTCCGTGCCAGTTTGGTGGGTGACGCGGTTCTTCCTCTGCCACCGTCATGACTGCGATCAAAGCGCGCCGGACATCCTCAAATCACTTGAGCTGTGTGGCCAAAGGTATATCCACGTAAAGCTTGCAAGCAAAAGACAAACACAGTGCAGACATTTCACGTCATACTCTTCGTTCCCCATCGCCGGCCAGCTCAACAACACATCAAAGCTTGCTCTGTACAATGCCGCCAGCTCCCACAAGCATGACAGCTCTGCGCAAGTGATGGACCTCCTTGCCTAAACTGCCAGTGAATGAAATGCACTTCCAAGGCAAGCAACCGGGCATATCTTCATCGACAAGGTCAGTGTTTTGCCGGTCTCTCAATACGCCAAGCAGAGAACTTAGATGTATGTGAACTACTCTTATCATGCGACTCTGTTGACAAAAACGCCTCGTCTAACCACTTGGTAAGCGGTTTGGGCAGGAGGAGCCATCGGCAATGATGTGAGCGGAGATGTTCTCGCCACATTATCCTCAGAGGGCCTCTACAGCACCCTTGGGGGCGGCCCATGGGAGTGCTGTGATTTCCCTACATCTAGAAAAGCAAAACAAAGGCGCAATTAGGGATTCATGGCTTCGGGCTTTGAAGCTACTCCCTCATCTGATTGGATCCGGTCATAGAACGAACTGTCCTGATCATCAACTGCTCCAAAGTCATCAAAAGTAGCATCTGCCGCTGGGTTCCTCTGTGGTGGCATTGAAACATTCTGTGCTTCTCCGCCAAATTCTCGAACCAAAGAAAAATGCAACCGAATTCGCCATGCACGACTTCAAAGGACGGGCCATTTTCAGCATGTAGTATCTTGCTTTGCCAAAAAGCATAAGAAGTGCTGCATGCCGAGCTCTCTTTGGGCGACCGCGTCAAAGGCAGTCACGGCAGCTGATCTGCAAGGGCCCGAAACATAGTGAATCTGCTTTTGACCCCCCTTCGCCTTTCGCAGCTACGCCGCGAGCCTCAACAAGTCGGGTCGTCTGCCAAGCCCATCTCGACCAACAAACGGTGCCCGTGACGCGACCTCTGGAGGTCGATCGAGGAGGCCTGACACAGCACAGCCAGCTCCGGTGTGCTTCTTGAGCTATTTATTTGCTCTGAACATGGGTTAAAAAGTTAAAATGCAAAGAAACCCTCAGCGCAAGATGACCGAAACAGCACAGAAGGGACTCCTAAAGCAGAGAGCTCGCATGGAATGCAGGCGCTGCGGTGCGGTCTGTCAAAGCCGAAATAGCACTCGGTTCGAAAGAAAACTTTCAAGACCCCAAAGCCTGGATCCTGGACATCGCTTCCCGTGCATCCACCCGGTCGTCATGCAGGAGTGACTTCGCGACATAGCACCCAAACTGGGACCTGCACGGCAAGCTTCATGATCAGACAGCTTATGGCTGAAGAAACTCGAAGATTGCTTAAGAGGCATTGAGGCCTCCTCGAGGCTCTTAGCGACCTGAATCCACTAACAGCAAAACAACCAGGCAACCAAATCGGGTTCAACAAAAGTAACAACAACAGCAGTAGCAGCTGCAACAACAGTAGTCGTAGTCGTGTAGTAGTAGTAGTA